TTCCTTCCTGGCTACCTTGTAGACCTCTAGAGCCCTGTCCGATCCTTGCTTCCTCAGCCTTAAGTGAGCTTCCTTCTTCCTCTTGACGAGATGTTCCACATGTCTTGTCATCCAAGGTTCCTTCACCTTACCATCCTTTCCTTGCCTCAGGGGAACAAACCTATCCAGTACCTGTAGTAAGTGCTCCCTAAACAACCTCCACATTTCTGTCGTGCATTTCTCTGAGAACATCTGTTCCCAATTTATGCTCCGCAGTTCTTACCTAATAGCATTGTAATTCCCCCTCCCCCAATTAAATACTTTCCCATATCGTCTGCTCCTCTCCCTCTCTGTGACCATAGTAAAGGTCAGGGAGTTGTGATCACTATCACCGAAAATCACTTGCTTTTCTAATTGCTTACTGTACCTACATACTGGACACTGTGACTAATGATCAAGAACTCCCAGGTTTACATCTGTATTTCTCAACCTCTAAGCATTTAAGAAACATTCTACCTTTATGTTTTTCTACCAAAGTTAATTCCTTCACATTTGTTCACATTATATTCTATCTGCCATGTTCTGGTCCATTCACTTCATCTGTCCTAGTCCTCTCGAAGCCTGTTTGCATCCTGCTCACACTTACATTCCTTCCCAATTTGTTTTCATCAGCAAATCTGAAAACAGTACTATTGGTTCTCACTGCCATTTATACTGATCTGCTGTGAACCACTGTGGATCTAGCATTGACCGTAGCTTACCCACCAGTAATAGTCTGCCATCCTGAGAATGGTCCAATTATTCCTGCTGTTTGTTATCTGTTAAGTAATTCTCAATCCATACTGGTATAGCCCATATGTTTCACAAAAGCCAAATTCAGCACATCCACTGTTTCTCCCTACACTACAAGTACTATTGTGAAAACTTTCTCACCATTATCCCTGGCATAAATCTGTGTTAACTCTGTTCAATTTTGCCGCTTCTTTTGAAATGGTGTATTAGATTTTAATATCTGCCCTACTGTGGACATCAAGCTAACAGGTCTGTAGTTCTCTACTCTCTCTCTTCTTCCCTTCCTAAATATTGGGGTTACATTTGCTGCTTTCCTTTCAGCAGGAACATTTCCAAAATCTATAGAAATATGAAAATTCATTACCAATGCATTCACCATCTCTATGGCTGTTTCCTGCAACATTCTGTGGTGATACTCATCTGATTCAGGAAATTTATCACCCACAATCCAGTTAATTTTTTAAGTACTACCTCTTTACTAACATCCATTTCACTTCTCCAGTTGCACAAGTCTCTTGGCTGCATAGTATTCCTGGGAGATTTTCTGCATTTTCTTCTCTGAAGGCAGACATGAAGTAACTGTTTAAGTTTCTTTGCCATTTCTCCATTCTTCACAATATAGTCTCCTGGATCTACAACCCTGCTCCTCTTTAATGAGCTCACATTTGTCCTTTTCTATTTCACATATCCATTGAAGCTTTTACAGTCTGCTTTTATGTTCCTTACTAGCTTGATTCATATTTTCTTTTCCCTTATCAGTTTCTTGGTCCCGTTTTATTGAGTCCTAAATTACTGCCAATCCTCAAGATTGCCACTATTTCTGGCATTCCTTCAGATCAATTTATTTGATTAAATGCGTCTTTAACTTTTTTAATTAAACATGGTTGAGTTTCCCTTTTGTGTATGTTACTTAGATGATTATATATCTCTTTTGTAGCATTTCTATATGTACTAGCCATTGCTTGGCTGCCATGAAATCTTTTAATGTATTTCCCAAATCACCCTAGTCAACTTAAAACATAGAACATAGACTAGTACAGCACATTGTAGGCCCTTCGTCCCATGTACCGACCTTTATCCTACTAAGATCAATCTACCCTGCATACCCTACATTTTACTATCCTCCATGTGCCTATCCAGGAGTCGCTTAAAAGTCTCTAAAGTATCTGACTCCACTACCACTGCCGGCAGCGCATTCCACACACCCACCACTCTCTGTGTGAAGAACCTACCTCTGACATCTCCCCTATACCTTCCTCCAATCACCTTAAAGTTATGCCCCCTCGTAATAGTCATTTCTGCCCTGGGAAAACGTCTCTGACTATTCACTCTATCTATGCCTCTCATCATCTTGTACACTATCTATGCCTCGCATCATCTTGTACACTATCTATGCTTCTCATCATTTTGTAACTTGTCTCTTAGATCCTCATAGATTCCTTTGCTCAGATTTCAGAACCTAGCTTCAGAATGAAGTATGACACATTTAAAAGCGTTATATCATACTATGGTCACTGTGGTCATTGGGCCTCTCATTGGGTGGCTGCAAGTCAGTGCCAACAGCAATGATACTTCACATGTACTTTATTGGCTGTGAATCAGTTTCAGGTATCATGAGATTGTAAACATACCACACACAAAGAAGGTAGTCATGATGTGGAAGTGTCAATGTTGGACTGGAGTAGACAAAGTTAGAAGTCCCACAACACCAGTTTATAGTCCAACAGGTTTATTTGAAATCACAAGCTTTTGGAGCGCTGCTCCTTCGTTGCGTGAAGTCAGACTTCATCCAGCGCTCCACAAGCTTGTGATTTCAAATAAACCTGTTGGACAATGACCTGGTCTCGTGTGACTTCTGACTTTATACATAAAGAAAACATTGAAATTATTCCAATCAAAATTGAGTGTTAATAATTGTGACGATTTCAAGAATTGTAGACCATTACCATCAACTTTTGCCATGCAACATCAACCCTTTCACTTACCCTTTGCGGCCCTTCATCTTATCACAGCCACTCTGTTTTGCTCTTTTTCTCCTCTCTCCCTTTCCCCTCACTCTTTATAATGAATGTATTACAGAGAATGAGCCCACTTAGCCCAACTACTCTCTGCTGGCTGCTCCTAAACGTTAGGGTCTTATGGTCACTGCTTCAAGAAGGCAACATTGTAGATATATTTCACAATTAATTCCAGTAACTTGTCTTTAAAAAGGCCACATTTTCTTCCATAGTTTCATTGGCTTAAAGCAATATCTTTTCCCATTTTTTAGAAAGCACCTTAATATCTCTCTCTGTCTCTCTCGTGTGTGGAGAAATAACAGGAAATCCGCTGGTAGCTGTTCTCACTCATCTTCTCCCTGTAAACTGCTCTGTTTGTAAATTTTGTTGTAAAAGGGAAAAGGAGAGAAAGAAAAGCCTTCAAGGATACTGAAAGGACAGATCTTCAACCAGTGAGTGCAAGATTGGGAATTGGAGTATTCACAACCTCGTATCATTAGCAACAAATTGGAAGAAAGTCGAAAGGAAACTACTGTGATCTGTACTGGTGCCAGAACTGTGCTTCTCTGACTTATTGTTCCTTCCCCACTGATAATATTTGTGTCTTAGCTTGTCTCTATGTATTTTAGTTTGTGTATGTGTGTGGGAATTCTAAAAAGGAGTAGGGTTTAAGTTAGGGGATTATAACTCAGCAACTCCTGTTTCTTTCTTGCCATTGGTTAAAAATAGCTTGTTTGCAGTATGTAGTGATTTTTGTTTTAATGAAAAACCTACTGTACATACTCGTTTAACCTGAATGAGGCAGTTAGTTGAGATTTGATAATTTGGTGATTTAATCACATTTTCCCATTGCTGATGATCCCGGGAGCAGTGGGGCTTGATTTCCAGCAGATTACCTGAATGCGTTATGAGATAATGTTTGATCCTAACAGCATGGCCTTGGGTTGAAAGCTGACAACTATTTGAAGTTGAATGTCTGAACCTCCCTCTCTCTGGTGCTATATCTTTGGAGATTGAGTGGAGATTAGATCAAGGTATGCAAAATTATGACAAGCTTGTATGAGACAGGCAAAGGTGAACTGTTTCCATTCACTAATGGTACAAGGACTGGGGGGACACAGATCTGGATTTTGAGCAAGAAAGCAGTGGGGGGAGGGGTGGATACGGATGTGAGGAAGAGCATTTCTATGCAGTGGGTGTTAGTAACATAGAACTCATCCACATGGGAGGTGTAAATGGAGACTATTGGGCCTTTCAGAACAAAATTGGATGAAGACTTGAAGCAAAGGAACTTGCAGAGATCCAGGGATACAATGTAGGAATGGAACAGACTGGAATGTTCTAAAGAGGCTCCTCCTGTGTTGTAATGCAATTGGATTCTTTTACCTAGTGCTTGGTTTTCAGCATTGATTCCATGAGGGGTTTCGCCAAGTATTTCAATGTCAGGTTCCCCCCTGACTGGGGCAAATGGCCTTACCAGCTATGGGACCCTTCTACCTGACACGACAGGAAGCCTTAGAGATGTGGATGTGCTCTGGTGCTCACCTGTCTGACTTTGGAATGCTTATCTCTCCTGCTGGCTCTGCCACTGCTGTGGGCCCCCCAGTCTGCTCATCATCCTTAAATGGATGAAGCTCCTAAACACAGTTTCTTGATTAGCTGTCCCTGGGAAGATGTAACCTAATATCCCAGCTTGGCCATTTCCTTGTCCTGACCACATCCTGGGAATTAAGGCCAACATTGGGATTGGGATTGGGATCCAGCCAATTTTTAGCCCTTTCTCACTATTGTTAGTTTGTAGTAGGTTGTCCATGATTGATGTTCAGCTGAGAGATCTGTGATCACTTGTTCCCTGTTTCTCTGTCTTTCCCAACATTAGTAACCGAGTAACATTTACACTTCTCTAGTGCATTGGCACAATCTAGAAAGCTTTGAAAGAAAATGATGTATAATCGTTGCAATTTCCTCACTGATTTAGTTTAATATCCTGGGGTGGAAAAACACATTTAACTTTAATTCCCATTATTTTATCCACTGGCATTTTGTTACTAATACATTGATACTGATAATACACTGACTCACTCCAGCTCTAACTCCCAGACTCACTCCAGCCCTAACTCCCAGACTCACTCCGACTCCACTTCCCCCCATCCCCGGCTCCAAGTTCCGTATCTCACTCCGATCCCAGCTCTGATCCATTGCGGTTTTTTCCATCTCTCGGTTTGAAATATCTCGGCTGCTGAAATGGGAGTGAGTGTTGGGAGGGTCTGAGTGAAGGGGTACTGAGCTCAGTTAGTGATTGGTTTCGGAGTGTTGTCAGTTCCAGCCCTGGGGGGTGAGAAACAACAGTTTGGATTGAACGATCTGACAGGTGCTTCCCGAGGAACCCCATCCTGTGAGAGCCGCTGTTTCCGATCGCAACTTCCCGCAGAAAGTTTGCAAACAGCCGGAGCTGCGATCCCGGCCCTGGGAGCTGGAGCTGTCTATAACCGTACCCATCGAGAGCCTGCAAGTTGGTACCATGAACTTCCTACTCCTCACACTCTGCGGTGAGTAATCAATGAAAACATTTAATTGCAAATGCCTTGGAAAACAAGTTTCGCTCGAAACGCCAGGAGCTGTACAGTCCTTCCACATTTAGATAATGTGGGGTTTTGTTGTGTTGTGACCAGGACTTCTAATACCAATAGGGTAGGATTTGGAGTAAAATTGACTTCCGTCATTTTGGTTGTTTATTTGCAGGCAGCATTTTAAATGAGTTTTTTTTTAAGAAAGTAGCCGAGTTGCAAACCAGAGCAGTACATATCCCAAGTAAGTACCTCCCTCCCTAATGCAGCCTGTTCTGTTTAAGTTATCTTCAGTGCTACACTGGGAACCTTCACTGCTTTGTCAGTGTTGCACACGTTCCAAGCCTAAGTACATAAAAAGATACACACACAGATTCAATTCCTAATTCCTAATATAGAAATAAGTGGACGCAACATCAGATTTCCAAACTTAAACCACCCAGTTTAGCCTAGAGATCCTCTTCCCTTGTCTCCCGAACGAATTCATCTCTGGAATACCAGCTAACAGTGAATTCCCTGATGACTTTTTCCAAATGTCATGACTTTTTCTCTCAGACTTCTCAAATACTCCCTTCCTCTGAGGTCATGCAAGCGTTTGTGTCAACTGAAGATTCAAACTTGACATATATTTTCCCTTCAGTCCTGGAAGGGTGCAGCTCCAATACCATCCAGGACAAAGCAACCGCTTGATTGGTACCACATCCACAAACATCCCACTCCCTCCACCCCCAATGCTCAATAGCAGCAGTGTGTACTATCTACACGATGCACTGCAGAAACTCACCAAAGATCCTCAGACAGCACCTTCCAAACCCATGACCACTTCCATCTAGAAGGAGAAGGGCAGCAGATACATGGGAACACCACCCCCTTGACCGAGCTGCTACATTGTTGCATAAGTGCCAGGGTTGTAGCAGGACTGGAAAAGCATGCACAGGAGCACAACTGATAGGTTGAGATCTCTCGTCCATAATACTATTGTCAGGATGCTGACAGGATCAATGCCTTTGCAGTATACTCTACTCATTCACGTTAGAAACCAATTTCATATTCAGGCAGCCACTGATCCTTTAACTTCACCTTTACTGGCAAGGCTGTTATATAACATTATCAAGCTTCTTTCGGAGCTCCATATATATCATGATGCCCTCACTGATCCCCTCTCTTACATCCTCACTGACCTTTCACAAAAGTGCTATTCACTTCCATTGCTTCTCTCAATCTGATTGTTATGTCCTTCAGGGAAATTTGAAGGGCCTACTAAACCACTTTTAGTGGTGACCACTGAAATCCCCCACGCAGAATACATCCTGTGCACTCACCTCCCTCAGTGCTTCCTCTAAGTGTTGTTCAACATGGAGAAGTACTGATTGATCAGCTGAGGGAGGACGGTAGGTGGTAATCAGCAGGAGGTTTCCTTGTCCGTGTTTAACCTGAAGCCATGAGACTTCTTGGGGTCTGGAGTCAATGTTGAGGAGTCCGAGAGTAACCCCCTCCCAACTGCATCCCACTGTGCCGCCCCCTCTGCTGGGTCTGTCCTGCCGGTGGGACAGGACATATCCAGGGATGGTGATGGTGGTGTCTGGAACATTGTCTGTAAGGTATGATTCCGTGCGTATGACTGTATCAGGCTGTTGCTTGACTAGTCTGTGAGACAGCTCTTACAGTTTGGCACCATATCCAGACAGAACTGTACTGATTGCTGAATGGGGGCAAGCAGACAAATTAGGGGAGAACAGCTCCTTTAGTAATATCTCTGCGCCAGCCCAGGATGAGTGTTTGCTGTGTTCAAATTTGCCTATGATTACACTATGATTATCTGTCCTGATAATGTGCAGTTATGCATTTGTTTGCCCCTGAATAATATTGGAGTACAGCACTGGAGGGGACAAGTGTGTGACTGTATAACACTGGGGTACAGTACCGATGGGGAAAGGTGTGTCACTGTATAACACTGAGGGACAGCACTGGTGGGGACAGGTCTGTCACTGCATAACACTGGGGTACAGCACTGGTGGGGACAGGTCTGTCACTGTATAACACTGGGGTACAGTACCGGTGGGGACAGGTCTGTCACTGTATAACACTGGGGTACAGTCCTGGTGGGGACAGGTCTGTCACTGTATAACACTGGGGTACAGTACTGGTGGGGACAGGTCTGTCACTGTATAACACTGGGGTACAGTACTGGTGGGGACAGGTCTGTCCATGTATAACACTGGGGTACAGTACTGGTGGGGACAGGTGTGTGACTGTATAACACTGGGGTACAGTACCAATGGGGAAAGGTGTGTCACTGTATAACACGGGGGGACAGCACTGGTGGGGACAGGTCTGTCACTGTATAACACTGGAGCACAGTACTGGTGG